GTAGAAAGAAATCTCTTTGTGGAGACCGTACTTAGTCTCCTTGTGTTGGGCAGATCAATACGGTTTCCTGAAAGAGACCATTTAATGGCCATCTCCCTTCATCCCCCTCGAGGAATCGGGGGGAAACTGTCAACCTGACATCATGTCCATCAGAGAGTGTCTGTCACACTGGAGAGCCTGCTTTTAGAGGCTCTGTGTTCACTGGGGCACTCGGAGCAGCAAAGATCTCAACAGCATTGCCTGCCCTCTGCCCAAGTCCAGCTTGCCTTCCTCTTTGGAGCAACAACTGACTCTCATTTGCATAGTGGGGAATGTGTTGGACTATCTTCAACAGCCTTAGCTGCTCTGTCTGGTCTGAAGAAAAGTTGGCCTCTCCTCTAGTCTCATCGTTTCTCAGTTGAGACAAGTTCTGTCCCATCAGGCCCTGTGGCTTTGTGTGAGGGTGTAGGGGAACCACGTCAGCTCCTTACAGATGCTGTCAACTTAGGACAGGCTGATGTCCTAAGGAGCTGATCAGAAGCTGAAAGTGTTCCAACACAAAGAAGAACTTAATAGACCTGACCCACCAGGCATCCCAGCTTTGACTAGCCTACCCTGAATATTCAGAGCAGTTAGCCTCCAGCATGGCCAAGTCCTCTAATACAAAGACTATTCCATAAGAGCATATCCAGTGTCTCACATAACTAGCCAACTACTATTTTGCAAGGGAAATGCAGAGTGGATGCTGCCTATGTTCACTTTGGAACAGTCCACCAAAGACCAGCAGAGCAAGTCCAAATCCTGTAACTCCATGTTCCGTGGCAAAGAACCTACATGTGCCTTCCATTCTATAACTCTTCCTGACAGTTATCCCAACATCTTGGGGTCTCCAAGGCATCCCAGGCTTTACCTTCTCAGCTTCCCACAATGGCCTCTCCTATCCTACACACAGTACCTCTTTGCCACATGCCTGGCCTCAGTGGGTTTTCTTGACTGCCATGGAAGATGTTATGTTGCCATGGAAGAGGCCTTTGCCACATGCCTGGCCTCAGTGGGTTTTCTTGACTGCCATGGAAGATTTTATAATCTGTTTCCTGGCCTCTCTTGACTCTAAATCCAAAGCCAGATGGACAAAGCTCCTAAGGGAAGCTGGAGACCGGTGTGTGTGTTCAGAATAGGGCAGCTGCAGAGCAGGTTTCTTGGGAAGCCGAGCACTGATAAACCTGTCTCTCCTTGCTGCCACTTCCCTGGCATTTGCCCCACAGTCCATCAGGGAAGAGAGACTGTGGAGAGTGTCGCATTGCAAGGCCCCTTCCCTTCCCCTCTTTTCAGGGACACCAGAGGCAGAGAACGGGTTCCTTTGGCCTTGTCCCATAGCTCATTAAAGATGTCTTTGTTCATCAAAAGCCAGGTCACTAGGACTTGGTGGAAAGAAAAAAACAAACCACAACAAGCCAAAAAGGATTGATGGTATGTGTGGGAGGGAGGCAGGGAAGAACTTCAGTGTTCTGTGGGGGTGGGGAAAGGGAGGAACGACTCTCACTGTCACCTTAAGAAGCTCAGCTATTTTGAGGACAATGACTGATGTTCACCACAATTGCTGATCTGAGACTGCTCACTCTGGGTGGGGATAAGCCAGACCTTGTAGCCTGGACAGTGAACCACAGGACTGCTTGTAGAGTGGTCCATGTAAGCATGATGTCTTGATTTTGAGGTGGGGACTGGGTGGAGGCTGTGGGTAGTATTATTTCAAATCCCCTGATGTCCTGAACAATGACAGATGGAGAGAGAGTAGCCTCCATGTTCTCCTCACCATGTCCGTGTCAGAGAGAGTACTTGTCACTCTGGGGAGCCTGCTTCTACTTGGGGTGGTTCTGACACTTTGGGAAAGGGATTCAGCACACACTTGCTCATTCCTTGGAGCCAACAGCTGCCACAGGAAGCACGAGTCTGCTGAATGTGGCTGGCAGGCTGCTTCAGTTTCCATGGTTACAGTGTAGTGCCGGTCAGTTAGTAGGGCTACTCAAGGGAAGCCTGCCATCGAGGTCAGATCTTTTGTGTGTTTTCTGGGGGGGGGGTGGTCCCTTTTTCAACTAAACCCTCCATTTTGGATGGGGTATACAGTTGATTGGAGGAATGGGGATTTCCTGTAAGAGTCCACAGGACTGCCTGGCTTGACTCTGTCACCCACCAGTTGTTTCCCTCTTGGGTGGCCTGAAGAGGGTGCTTCAAAGCATCCCCACTACCTGTCCCAGAGTTCTGCCCACTGACCCCTTCCTTCTACTGGGATTCTATTAGAGGCTCCCTTCCCAGCCACAGAAAGGCATGGTGTTTAGAAAACCCTAAATCTGAATTGGTTTTAAGTCTCATTTACCAAGATAACAGTGAGAACCACTTCCCCAAGTCTCAATATTTTCCTGTGGCTACACAAATGGCAGGGTTAATCACACAGCATTATAAAATCTTTTATTTTGGGTTCCATGCCCTCAGTTAACTGGGTTCTGCAGTCTGGAACTGGAGCCTCTGTCCTTTGTTTCTTGCAAATGACATACCATTCTGGTCCTCTGTCTCTTTGCAACCAGAATAGAAGAATCGTTGTGAAGAGACTGTTGGGGAATTGATCTGTGTGGATGGGGGACATTTAAAAACCTAACCAGGCAGTGAAGGCTGCTTTGGGATCTCAAGCAATTATCATCTCTAGTTGCAAGAACACACTATTTTCGTGTCTCTTTGGCCATTTTAGAAGAAAATTAAGACTTGTGTGCTACTTCAGAAGTGTGTGTGTGTGTGTGTGTGTGTGTGTGTGTGTGTGTATGTAACAAAAGCAAAATGTGTTCAGGAAAGAGTTATCTAATAAGACTAGCTGTTCTTAAATTCTGATGGCAAAATGTGTTCAGGAAAGAGTTATCTAATAAGACTAGCTGTTCTTAAATCCTGATGGACCATTTCTTAAATTGGAAAATAGTCTTTGACCATTTCTTAAATTGGAAAATCGTCTGGTGACCAATAGAACAGTAGTGACTCTGTAGTGACCTGAAGCCATTGTTCTGTTTTTATCTGATTTGGGAGCAGTAGACTTCATAATTCTGTGTACTTTATGTCCACATTGTTTGTGTATTTGCTTCCAAGAATGTATTTTTGGAGCTGGCAAGAAGGTTCAGTAAAGGTGTTTGCCGTGCAAGCCTAGTGTCCTGGGTTCAAGCCCCAGGACCCACTTAAAGCTGGGAGAAGAGAGCAACCTTCACAGAGCTGTCCTCTGAGCTGTGTGTATGCACCATTGCATGAACATGCCTTCCCGCCCCCAACGTCATAGACACACAATAATACACATTTTCAAAGAACACATTCTCTTTTGCTGAAGATGGGGACTGGAATCCAGGGGCTCTTTGCTGAATAGTGTCACCAAGTTATGTGCGGGATGTCCCTTTTGCTGAGCCCAGGAAATGTTTGTCCAGCCCCTTGGAGAGGTTTTTAGCCTGAAGGAGCTTGCCATTTCCCACCAAGGGAATAATGGCAGTTAAAAACCCGGCCTCTTCTGTCGTGGTACTTACTCTGGCTGATGAGTCATCGCTGTAAAGGGACTCTGGAGAATTGCCCTTTGAGCCCATCTGACAGACATGATAGTAGATAGCTGCCTCCCAGGTGCAAGGTATGGACCCTGAAAGATAATGTTAACCCACCAACTGGACAAACTCTGGGCTCAGCCATCTCAGAAGCCGGTTTGAGGCTTCCCTAACCATGTGATGTTTTAGGTAGATTTCACAGAGCCTGGGAGCTCTCAGGACAGCTATGCCAGTCTCTAGCAGAGCTCGTGCAAGAGAAGTAAAGCTAGCTTCTCTGGCTCTTCCTGAGCCTAGAGAGTCATCAGATCCCTGAGGCCATGTTGGACATGTCCTAGGCAGAGCCTCACCCTCTATGAGACCTGTGGCTCTCCATTCTCCCCGATCAAATATAGAAGCTGCTCACTGGGCACTGGACAAACAATTCCCTATTTTTATAGGCAGCTCTGACCTAGGCCAAAGGCCAAAACCTCCGAGGATTTGCCGCTAATCCCGCTGGATATTTCTCATACCTCTCTCATGCCTCATCCGGCGTTGTTTCTTGCTGGAATGAATAGGTTCTGTTTCTCCCTTGTTACAGGTTTCTGCCTGGGTGAAGTTTGGGAAACTTTGGGACACATTCATTCCACTTTTGAAAGGGGCCGGAGCTGCTGAAAGCTAATACATGGGATGGCAGGAGAAGAGCAGCTATGGGGCCAAAACCTCTGTTTGATTTTAAAACAAAACAAAAACAACAACAACAAAAATATAGCAGAAGAGTTGTACATCCACTGTAACTGGAATGAATGGGGGAGTCTATTGCTGTCCGCTCAAGGCGTTGGAGGCTCCTGCTAGGCCTCTTTCCATAGAGTCATCTAGGAAGACCTTCTTGGTGGTGGTGAATGCATGGCCTCTGTGCTGAAGGGGGGTTAGGCAGGGTAGGCACTTAAATGAAGATGGGTAATTAAAGTGAAGGACTTAAAGGGAATGAGGGGAGGAGAGCAAACAGCTGGGTCACAAGGGAGTTGCCATCCTCGGGCTGACTGCACAGCCAGGTGGGAAGGGCATGGGCCCTTCAGGGTGTTTGCTGACAGACTTGCTAATTAAACACCAAAAGGCAATAGTGCTTTGCTAATAATGATGACTGTGCCAGAGCTATCGGCTGCAAACTGACTGCCAGGAGCATCCTAATTAAAAATAAACAGCCCCGGAGGTGGGCATGGAGACCGGGATCCTGCCTGGTTTCTCGGAGCTTCTAAGATTACTCTCAGAGAAAGCCACCACCGATCACTTGTGGGCCACCTTTCCTGAAAGGAGCCTCTGTTTCACAGATGGTGTGATATGTACAACTTGTCCTGCTTCTGAAAAAGCCCTAAGTGCTGGGGTGAGAAGCAAACAAAGCCACTAGGAGCAGATTGCCTGGTGTGTTCCAGCCCTGGGAAGGGAAGGCTGGCTGGGGGTGGGGGGTAATAACGATTTCTGCCTGCCCTCGGAATTAGGGGATAGCTAAAAGCTCAAGCACAAGCCCTCTTGTAAGAGGGGTTAGAATTTCATCAAGTCTGGTCACATGAGAATTTCTGGCACCGTGTGCATGGCAGGCTGGACACAAGCCGGCCAGCATTGAGCGAGAGTGGATCGTATTGGCTTCGGCGGAGGGGAAAAGTCAGACTGGCCTGGGAGAAGGAGCAGACTCACTCCCTTGGCTGCTGGCTGTGGACAGGAGGAGCACAGAACGCAGAGCTGGACGGGGGAATCCATCATCCGATGCCCCCATCCTTTGAACTTGAATGAAGGTGTGTGGTGTCTAGGACTGAAGACAAGATGCCTAAAGAATGCAACGCTTTCCATGCCCTCTCGGCAGCCCTGTGCTGCTTCTATCACCGCAAGTCTTTCCTTGGAGTCAAGGTAGGTGTGGCTTGGAGCTGTGCGCATCTCAATCCTTTTGGGGCCGCAAGACACCAGAAGTTTGCATTTTGCAAAATCCATTTGGTTAGGTGGATCTTCCTGAGGCCCTGGCCGTAGAGAATGGGGGGCTCCTTGTCTGTGTTTGGGACAAAACTGTCGTTCGTGACACTCTCAGGCTCCCTGAGTTAAAATTGTATGCCGAAGTAACCAAATAAGACAATGCTGTTTCTTCCTTCCTCCTTTGTCTCTTTTTCCATGTTCAGAATGTGTGTGAGGTAGCTGAGTCCCCTTGCTCCGTTTAACCTCATGGTCCATTATACACCCACAACACATATAATGGACAGAAACCACAAATTATCTTCTTTCGAATTGCAGCCAGATCCCCCAAACATTTCAGGGATCAGAAATGTGTTTCTCTTTACCACTTGCATTTTAACCTTTGTTACAAGACACCAGTGCCAGTGGCTTTTGCATAACACGTCAATAGACTGTGTGGGTGACTTGACTAATTTAAACCAAGGTCTGTATTCTGTGTCGCCTGCCTGTGATGGACTAAGGATTAATGTGAGCGCAGGCTTTCACCAATCCCAAGATTTGTCACCCTTGAGAAGACTCCCACCAGCCCCAGAATAACTGCAGACCTCGACTATTCCTGGGAAATTGGAGGCTGAAAGCTCTCAAGGAATCCTTCCCACCCCAAAGCAGAGCTGCCTCTCCCAAGGGACGGAGAAGCCACAATGGGGCTGGAACACTCAGTTCCTTTCTTGCTACACAAAAACTAAACCTTGGGAAAGTGAACTGCTGCAGGGAGAAGGACCCAGCTATAGAAAAAGTACACAGTGAATGAGAAGAGAGCAGGCGTCCTCTGGCTCTGCAGTCTGG